GCTCTAATGTTCATACGAAAAAAGTGTGGATCTTAATTTGGACCTTTGGATATTATTCACTGTTTTTATTATTTAATTAATACAAAACGGATACATGGAGACGTTTTGTTTTTTGTTTGTTTGAGAGAGAGCAATGAACGAACATCTGACGTTGATGTTTCGTTCTAAAACAGATATTGACCATAAAATTCGTTCGTTAAGTTGTTCCAATCAATCGCTTGTAAGTCACAAAAGATAAAGGAATCATCATATGTGTATTTCGATGATGTACTTTCTTAACAGTCTCGCCTTTCTTAACCTTTTAAAGTAAAACAAAACGTCAAACGTTCCCCGTGAATCCTTGTTATAAAATGCCGTCAATAAGATCGTAAATTTGTTATAAAAATTTGTAGCGTTTGTCGAGCGTTTTGGTATGTTAGTGCGTGGCGTGGGGCCGACGGCCCAGTGGTGCCGTAACTTCACGCGCGGCCGCCGCCGGTAACGAGCAGCCACATAAAACAAAATGCCAGCACAGAAGGGATCCTCTAAATTTACTTAAATGCCAAATAAACTTCGAATTGCTTCGCCATTTATGAAAAAGGCTAGTTGCTCTTTGATATTGTAATGTAGGCTCGTTTAAGTAAATGTTCTCTTTGATTAGAAGAAAATTATTTAAGAAATTCTTCTTGTACTGTAAATAGAAAATAAAAAGACTAAAAATGGCCAAAGAAAATTTTATAATTTAAAATAACTTAGCTATTACTACTTAAATGTACTCATTCATAATTTACACATAATATTATAGTGAGAGTTATTAATTAATTTTATATTCCCTTTAATCATTTAGTCAGTATTGAATTAAAAATGTTTTTGTCAGTTTATGTAAATTTTCGCGAATTGTAGTTAATTTTTAAACTGAATGTAAACGGCAATTAAATGAAAATGAACGTATCGTAAATAGGAAATGTTTTACAACGCGCTCCTCGCAAACTTCGTCTGCGATTGCTATGTTGATAAGAAAAAGTTAGATGGATACCGTTGAAATACGAAACGAGTTTTTATGGTAGGTAATAATTATCGTTTAGTATATATAAACGTGTACATTCAAAACTTTTCATTCTACTGCTAAAACACTTAAATATGAAGTTTAGTGTAGGTTTTTTTGTTTTATTTGTACTCGAAAAGACAAAAATAATAATCTGTTTGATCCTGTCCTTTACAGCAGTGAAGTGTAACAAGTACTTGCTAAAATTTTAAAATCTTTATGAAGTATTGGTTCATGGTTTTGTTTTACGATAGAGTTGTAATTTCAAAATTTTGATCTCTCAACCGCAATAATCGAGATAATATTTCATTTAGCAAAATTGAACAGCTTATATTCACTTTCTAACCTCAAACTTTGATCATGGAATAATATATAGTGCAACTTTACATTTAATTTATTCTATGACTCTGCAGCAATCGAAGGACATAATTTTTGTTGAATTCAAAAGGACAAAATAAAATAAAGCAGTTAAACAACCATTTTTTTTTCAATAATTAGGTACTACTATTTTCCTTTTTTTGTTATTAAGTTTAGTTGCCCTACCACCTAAGTACAAATGGTGTGAGAGCAAAGGGGCCTGCTGAAAACGCAGGGTGGGTCGAGGTCATTTCTTAATCAGCTGAGCTAGCCACATTCCTAATTTTTGTGTTCATATTAGTTCACCAGTTAAGATAGTTTGGTTTGTTCTGTTCTGTTCTGTTGGATTCTATTCTTTTTGAGGGAGTAAGCTGATACTTCCACTTTAATGGTACTCCAAAGTGAATCTATTTAGTACAGAGTTATTAATTCAATTACTACTAACCAATAATGATACTAATCTTGGTAAATTTTGTTTTACTATATTTTCACGCAGTATGGAAATAATGCATGTGTAAATCACTTGTTACATAGGACGATATCTGCTGATGGAATTGGGAGCTCAGCGAAATCATAGCCATATGTCACACAGTTGCTGCATTGCTACATTTCTCTGTGTGACGGCCAGTTCGATTTATGAAATACTATCTGCTCCATACCGACATTGTGCTGCTCGACGCGACGTTGCGCTCCGACTTAATTTGGTTTGATTTTTAATGAACTATCGAGTTTATTTTCGTGTATGGATTTTTTTGTTTAATTAGTTAAATTCTTTGCATATGATGGAATGTAATATGGTAAAATGGCATCACCAGACTGTGTTAATCAACTGCTAAACTTATTATGTATATGGGAGTAAAGACTAAACATTTATAGAGAAACTAGGTATTGCGCGCGACTCTGTTCATGCGGTATTGACTTGATAAGTAGCCTATGTGTTCTTCTAGACTATGTTCTACATCTATGCCAAATTTCAGACATATCCGATGACCCATTCCGGAGATACCTTCAAATAAACATCTGTCCATCCATCCAAACATTCGCATTTACAACATTAACTAAGACTATAGAATATTATTAGTTTAAATAAAAAAATAATTGGAATCATCCAATTTCTATGATAATTACATTATAGATCTAGTAAAAGTTTAATATAACAAGTTTAAAATAGGTAAGTTTAATTTGTTCAAGGATACGTTTCAAAGCTGCGCTAAGCACTCATTCGATTACTAACATTTGGCAGCGGGTTACGTTTGAAATTGCACCCGCACAAGAGTTCCCAGTAATTTCAGCGAAAAAGTATAACATTGAAAGGAAATGTATTAGAAGCTTTCCATTTTATGCAGCACAAATACTATTTCCTTAAAACATGTTCAACTTTATTATAAATCTTCTATATTAAGTATAACTTTTACCCGCGACTACCTCCAGACTTCATTACAAAAAAACTTTATAGGTATACTTATATGTGTTCTTCTAAAAACATTCTACATTTGTGCCAAATTTCAGAGATCCGTTTTGAAGATACCTTCTAGCAAACATCCACTCCTCCATCCAGACGGAAACGTTCGCATTTATAATATTAGTAAAATTATATTTTAAATTGCCCTATTCATTTGGGTTAAATTATTTAAATAAAATATAATTATAACCTAACTTATTTTATACTGATTATTAGTATTTTGTTGTGTACGCTCGTGACAATGCTTTTTCTTATGTTATGACTTATGATATTTGCATGGCTTCGTACTTACCGTCGGCTAGTTCATTGCCCTACATTATACAGGCAAGTTTTTTTTTTCTACATGTTAATAATATACAGTTTTCTGAATAGCCCGTTGTAGTTCATGTTATTTTACTGAAAAAAGTATTTACTTAGATGTAGAAATATGACATGAATAATTTTAAATAAGGTTCTTTATTTCGCGAGTGATACTAGACATTGATATAAAATAATGCTTTTTCGAAACAAAATATTAAAAAATCCAAAATGTTGCAGTATTTCTGAACTATACATATAAATAAAATTTGTATGACTGTATGTCATGTCGAAAAAATCATGTTTCGAACACGTATATTTGCATTGCTTATAACAAAAGACCAATTATTTTTTAGCTGTCTTTCTGCATGTATGTACGGAGAAGATTTTGGCGGGAAAGTAGCCGATGGATGCATATTATACGATACATTTTTTTAATTCTGCGATGACGAAGTCGAGGGCGACCGCTTGTTCATAATAAATTCCGATATAAAATATGAAAATTGATCGTATATTTATGCACTCAGCGTACAACAGGTTTAAAATATTCGTGGATAATAAACAGCCTGGGAAATTTATTCACATGTTCAATACTCTAGCAACTGTTGAACTGGAATGACGCTTATGCTGCTAGCAATTCGAATTAATATTAATGGTTCTTCAAAAGCGGCTTATGGGGTAGCAAGGAAAAGCCTCGCGATTCCTAGAATTTAATTCTGTGGCGCCGGTCGGCTGGGGTGGTACTTACATGGAATCAAATAAATTTTATGCTTCGGTCTATTACTGGAAACCCCGTACTTATACACTCAGGTATAAAAATATTCGCAATGTTTAAATTGCAATGCTTTATAATCTGCATTATTTATAACGTACGATGACTGATGTTAGCTATTCTCTTCGCAAGTTTGTCGTCTTTTCATTTATTCAAAGGATCTAGGAAGAAAATTATTCTTTGCTGTTTTTAGAACTTCGACGACTATTCTGATAAGCGATCTTTGTTTATGCTAAAGGGTACTATTAACTTGGAATTTTGCGTTAAGAATTAATAATGAATGATAACTTTGATCCTCGCTTATTTTATTTTCAAAAGTTATAAACAATTATAAATATTTAAAATAGTAAATTTTTTTTTCTTTAAAATAACGGTATTGAGTCTTGTCATTATGAAATAAAACATTTCATTGGCAATTTTAATTAACAAAACTATGATATTAGAAAATAATGTTTGACATTAAATGTCTCGATTGCACTTTAAAGTACAATTGCACTTGTTAGAAAGGAAGTATAAGATTGCGGAGGATATTATCGTAAGGGGTGTTGTATGAATTGTCTTCAAATGAAAGAGAAGGCTTTAGTAAAGGGGAGGTACCGTAGCCGCGCGGCGAGTCATTGCGCCAGTTGTCTACGAGCCGTGCTACAACACGGTCGCGCGACTCGCTGGCAGATCGACGCCTTTAAAACTTTTCACGGAACGTCGTCGAAGTATCACATAGTGGTCAAGCGTTGGCTTATTCAATATAAAAAAGTATTGAAGTTGACCGCCCTCTTAATCACTTCCTCGCGTGTGTCGAATGCAATCCGAAGGAACGTTTACTTTGTGTTTCACAGCTTAAAAATGTTTTGAACGTTACATTATTGAAGTTGCTCCAAAGTTATTTAACTGGTCTACGTGCCAGTAATATTAAGGAAGAATTATCCGATACAACTAATTTCTAAATAAACTATTATACATATTTACGACCTTCAAGGTTATGGGAAGTTATGAAAAGATTGAAAACAAACCTGAAACTTCCATTGTATTATTAAAAATGTCATAAAAGTTGTTTAATTTTAATTTAGACAAATACGAGAAGTGATAAAATGTTTTTAACTTTAGTTTTGTTGGATTGGCTGCTAATTTGGTCAAGTGCGACAACGCTATCACGTGAGTATAATTATACTGATATATGAACAAACGTAAATGTAGTAATAATTGAAATAAACGACATATTAGTTGTAATATGTTATCTTAAAGATGGTAATTAAAATTATTACACGAATAGAAAGCCCTTCTATTAGAGAATAAGCTAGATTATATTTGAGTGTTTATTTTTGTATATCCACACAAGAAAAGCTGGTGTTGTTAGCTAGTTATGTAAATATAGGGAAAGATCAGAGATTTTGTTCTGTTTTTAAGGGCAATTTAGAGTAATTGAATTAATTTTTAAATTTCTTCCGTATAGTTATCGTCAATTATGTCAAAATTAGTATGAGTTTTCTGGTGGAATTCACGCGCCATATTAGTACTAAAACAATTCACACTAAAGTTGTTCTAAAGCACGTATGTTGAGGACAAATGGTTAGGCATAAGTTATATATATTTGTGAAGTAAATGTAATTTTCAATAGATATTTATTTTATGCGTTTTGTTATCATCAGGATGACATACTATGTCATTATATCTCTGCGGATGTATCCATGATTGAGGGATTATCATAAGAATTCAATAAAACTTTCTTATTTTGTATTTGACGTGTAATATAATATTGGAATTTATTTTGAAATTATTTTATTTTTTAATTAAACTATCTTTTAAAAGTCTTGTCGAGTAATGAACTTTCCTTCATCTGATGTGTAATGACTCCTAAATCTATACAATGTCTTTATTTTATAAAAAGTTTTAAATCAATAATTTGCAATGAAAAACTTTTAAAACATTCAGTTCCGATTTAAATTTATCCTGCTTTATGTAGCTACAATCGAAGTACAAGATTAAAATACTGCATGTTTAAACAGCAACATGGAAATTAATGCCTATTATGTTAGAAACTATTATCGCAATTATGTAAAATTAAACTAAAAATTCTTATAAAAAACAACACGTAATTGAAACAGTTTGCCGCAAGTGCCATCAGATTAGCTTATGAAGCGTGTTTATGTACAATTATGCACTTTGTAACCTTTTGATCGCTTGATAAATCATCAGGAATTTCATGGATTTTTTTTTATTTTTTACCACTTTACAAAGCGATAACAACAAAGATGTCGTATATATGTTTCTAAACTTAAAATTGGAAGATAATAAAAATATTTTTATAATAATTAAATTAGCGGGTAAACAAGATCTCACCTGATGTTGTGTTCGAAAGGTGATAATGGAAAGTAGTAAATTACATAAGTACTGATGTAAAGTAAAGTACATAGAAGCCCTCAAACGCAATAACGATTTTTCTGCAAAGATGCATTATTTAGGCACTAGCAAGATGAATGTAGGGTTAATTTCAAGATGAATAAAGTTGTAGTAATAGTGAAAGTCTCCATTTCAAGTGTTTATTATTGATTTCTAAAGGTTTACTTTATTTATTTATTTTTTCGCCCAACTGACAGAAGTGTAATTTCGCGGTACAAGTATGTTTGTCTTCCTCGGAATGGCATATTGATAGAGTTAGTCGAATTTATTTATATTAAATTAATAAATATTAAAAAATAAAGTTATACTATTATCTTTTTAATTACCGTAAACTTGAACAACGTAAAGACGCGTTATAAGTTTAGAACGCGTTAAATGAGGCCAAGTAGACAGATTGTTAGAGGGGAAACTATTAGTGGGCGCATATTAAAATCGTGCCCTCCTATATTTGGATTATCGCGGTAAAATTTGACGTGTAGTCAATTAGTGAAGCTAGGGACCGTTGCGGGGAACGTTCGTAATTTGTCAGTGACAACGCCGGAAGTTTCACAAGCCCCCAACTCCCAGCCCGCTTCAACAGTATCAACTATTACAGCGCCTTGCACAAATATTTTTATATTTATATCGGTCTTTTTGTTAATTTCATTTTCACTATAAATTATTTTTATTATTAATATGTAGTATAGTTTAGAAGCGAGTGAATGAAAATATTATTATTTATTTGAATAATAATAGAATGATGTGTAACATAATATGCATTCCGATAGACGGTGGTCAAAAATAACTAGTCCAAAGTGTCTGGACAAACCCGCAATGGGTTCACGTAATTTTGTATACTATACCCTGTTTATAAAAATAAATCAAATAAATAAAACTTAAATAAATCTCACCTTTAAGTATAGTGGGCGTGAATGACTATTTGTTCCTTTGTTTCATTTCAGGTCCTGTAATTTTAAAGTTTTTACAAATATCGTCGCAGAATGTAATGTACTGCTGGAATGTTTTAACTTTTATTTTTCTTCAGAGTCACAACTCCAACTCCTTTGAGACTGGCGTCTGATTTTCATTCTACACCCGACCCTGACTACTAGGGACTTTGGGAGTTTGTTACGCCATTTTGAACTAATACGATTTAAAAATGTTTAAAGCTTGAAATTAGCAAGACGGTTGTCTAAGATTCCATTTATAAATTCGAAATCGTTCACACTAATTTGAGCTCTAAGTGAAAATTTATCCGCAATCTGCGATATTCCTTTCATTCGTTATCCTGAAGGAAATACATTTGACAGCGATTTAAACAAACGGTTCAGTATAAATCAATTTGTATTCGCTTTATCGTTCTTCTAAACAGTTCAATTTATTTATGTTCAGTTTAATGGGAAATAAATTTTGGAATATAATATTCGACGATAAAATTTTCGCATTCTTACAAAATAACCTTATTCTAGTTCAATAATTACAATGAATTGATAAACATTTAAAGTAAAAACGAAACAAATGTACATGTAATAAATTTATGTAATGTTATTGTTTCATGGGCTAGTTGTATGTTGGTAGGGCTGGAGAGTTGTTACTTGTGGGAGCCTTAAATTAGGTAAGCTTCCCAATGTGTGTTCCCCGCATCAATATCTAGAAATAAGTGTTAACACAAACACAATATTTTCTTAAATATTTTAGAGTAATAATGTTTTATTTATTAATTGCTGAAAATTCTAACTTTTAGTCTCACCGCGAAACGTCTCTTAGTACCAAAATTAATTTTCATTCATAGCATGACTTTACTAATAAAGTTTTCGGAGTGCTGTTTTGATTTTCAGTTTTTATTGTGCCTTATTGTGTAGTTTATTGTGTTCAACTTTCCAAACAATACTATTCGGATAATTAGTTTTCACGAGGCGGCGAGACGAGGCCGGCCGCGTCTCCCGAGGCGCGGACAGCGAAACTCTTCATGTTGCCTAGATATTATCAAGAATCCATTATATTTATTTCCATTCAGCTTTACTGCTACTTTAGCAGTAGAAGCTATGCGTATTTTCAAACTCATTTTATTCTATATTTATATTAGAAAAATAAAAAAGTTAGTACTAAGTAAACTTTTGTTTTTAAGATCAGGGGGGAGAGAAACAAAATTCTTTACTTTTTCTCCGTGTGCTATGAATGTATCGGATATATTTTTCCTATAAGTCACGTGCTTAGAAGTCATAAAATGTTTTCATTCCGCAGGCTTTGGTGCGTTTTATTAGGCAATAGTATTTTGGTCGACTTTGAACACAAAGAATGTATTAGACTCTCAAAGTAAAAACGTTTTGACATTACTAACGCGTTTATAATTATGGTATTTAGTTTCTTTAAAAGCGTAGATTTTTTCGGTAACATTTATGACATTTTAATTGTATGTTTATGTTTCTTTATTGTGTTTAAATTATTTGTTTGTTTGCAGCTGAACCGGGTTTTAGCGCTCCCATAGAAAATGTCACAGCACCGCTTGGAAGAGAGGCTATTATGGCTTGTACAGTACACAATTTGTCGTCTTACAAGGTTTGTTGATTAATGTATTTTTTACCGTTGATTCTTAAGGTCCAAAGTTTTATAGGTCTTGTTGAGTTAAGAGATTTTGTATTGTATTTAACATAAATAAAAAAAACTACAAATATATTCTTGCCCACCTCCTAGTTATGTAAACATTCACAAAGATTATTTCGTAAGTAACTTCAGTTCATTTTCGTAAATTATATAATATAAATATATCCTATATAAATTATATCCTAAAATGTTTCATATTATATAACATTTTAATTAAAAATCTTAACAACTTTTAGCCCAAGTAATGAGAATTTTTAATTTAAAAATTATTTTTAAAGTTTGATATCTTATTATAAGCTTAAGACTGGAAAAATTATAATTTTAAATATCATATGAATAGCCTTCTTATGCCCTCGTAGAGTGAGCTTTAAAGTTCTTTTAACGGTAACTAAGTTAAAATTTACGTCCAACATTGACATAGATCGTTTTAAAAAGTATACGTATCTTAAGTTGCAAATGAAATTTATTTTAGCCTTTGACTTCAATTTTAATAAAAGCTTTTAAAAAGACAATTGTCAAGCTAATCTAGATTTATAAAATCACTTTATGAACATTATAATAATAGTTTTTCAACATCTCAAGAAGCTCTCGCTAAACAGTTGGATTAAGGGCCCGATACAAAAGGCAGTTATCCTAGAAACCGCGCGCATCGTGAGAAGGTTCCTGTCTCTGCAGCCCTGACCACTGGTTGTTTGAGTCATGGGATTCCGCAGCCGGTGGTGTTCTCTTTTTAATATAATATGTTTTGTATATATTTTTTTATATGAAATGTATTATATTAGAAATGTATATAAGTAATAATAATTTATTTATTGCGTAGACACACACATTCTTACACATCAGTTTTAGTTTAAAAGAAATAGTACAAAGTTTCTTACAGTACATTATAACTATGGTAAATTTAATCATAAAAATACAAGTGTATTAAATAGTGTTCCCTGGTGTTGATAACAAGTCTTAAAGTGTAATTTATAAAAACCTAACCTGTTGAGAAGGAAACTGATAGACTCGTCACAAAGAACAAGAGCAAAAGAAAGGAACTTTCCTAGTTTGAATACGTACAAACATTTCCTTAAATGCTATTCGTAGTTAACTTACACAACTTAGGAAATTCAGACTACGTAGAACTTTCTAAAAAAGTTTGTTGACACTGCTTGACACAAACTTTTTGTAGAACATATATTATATTTTACTGTTCTTAATTTTTTTCAAAGACGTAACTTTAGTTTTTATAATTTTACGCGTTATAGAAAATTAATACTGCGTTTTAATTTTTTTTAAATATTAGTAGTTTTTTGTTCATTTACTAATATTTCTTGTACCATTCCAACTAAGCTCTAGGCTTGTGCTACGACATGGTTCACGACAATCCGTACTGTTGACCATTAGGCTATTGACGATTCAAATTAATAGTAATAGAGCTAAAAAACGTAGGGGCTTGAATCTCTGCTATGTATTTCGATCGCTGTACCAAGTCATCAAAAAATTCATGTCATGTCCCGTTGCACACGTGACTAAAGGTGTAAATAGTTTTCCATGTGGAGCGATTAAACTAGCGTAGGTATTATAGTGTCTAGTAAAGGATGGGCACTTGATTTGAAATAAAATTTTACCTTAAATCTAAAGATGTAAGAAGAAGATCTTGTATGCATTTATATTAAGGTGCAAACTAAATTTCGAAAGAGCAATAATTGATGACTTTATACAGTCGAAACCGGATAAGCGAGAAACTCCGGTAAGACAGAAATCTCTTTAAGCAAGAAAAATATCGCACCCCTATGTCCATAATAAACGACGGGTTGAGTCCTGCGACACAACTACTCCTAAAATACGGATTGCAAGAGTTTACATAATGTTGTAAATAGTTAAAGTGGCATGGCACTTACCAACTCGATGTCTCGTTGAACGCCTGCAGGTGTCTCTTCACTCTGTAGGTGTTAACCGAGTCAAATAAATCACTGCCAAGTAGTCTAAAGCCACTAACAATATTGCACTTCTGATGCACCCGATGCACCATTTCCCGTAAGCGCGTTATAGATGCGTCGTTGTAAAACAGACCGCGGAACTGGAAACTTAAGCGACCCTGTACGCTATAAGATCGGCACGTCCGCCACGACTCGACTGTTACCAACTCACTGCCCCCACAAGTCCCCGCTGGCCCCGCGCCCGATCGTGGCGGTGAGGGATTTCAATCTACCCACTTGTGCGAGAAAAATAAAAATATGTCGAGCTGCTATCGTTAAACCGTATATACCGAACTGCGAAATTCAAAAATATTTCAAACAAGTTCGACATTGCAGATGACTAAGAATAGTGCATCTGTACCGAAAATCAAGTATCGTAATTTAAGATATTATTTGGAATTATCTGATCTTTTTTAAATGTTCGCAAGGTAAAACGTAAGAGAAACTTGTTATCTTGTTGAAAGGAAGTACTTACTAACTGCTTCTTGCACTTCAGGCAACACTTTCCGTTCGCAAAATCACTTTGAAGCTGTTTTAAGCATGTTCAAGTCTCAAGTATGTTTACGATTTATAAGTATGTGCATATAAAATACTTTGTAAAAGCCGTGGTTTTGTTGAGATTTCATAATATGTTTAAAATTTGAATATGTACTTGCGTATTTGAAATTCACAGATTTTTTCATATTTACGATTGCAATAGATCTTGTGGTAACACAGTATTAAGATATGACTTAAGACTTTTTAGGTAAATAAAAACCTCTAACACCAGCAGTCTCCTGATTTTATTTCCAAGTTTTATAATGAAATCATTTACGTATTTTTTTATGTTGAATTAAAAACTCAAACTTCTGTAAACTTTATGTGTAACATTATTTTAATGCATTCGTATATCTATATCGCCATTCTCTTAGGTGGCGTGGCTAAGAGTAGATACTCAGACGATTCTCACCATTCACACGCATGTGATATCAAGGAGTCGGAGAGTTGGTGTAACCCATAGCGACCATCGCACCTGGTTTCTTCACATTAGGGAACTCCGGGAGACTGATAGAGGATGGTACATGTGTCAAATCAATACGGACCCTATGAAAAGTCAACTTGGCTACTTAGACGTTGTTGGTGAGTAAAGGTCATACACAGACTGTTTCAAGCTATCGGTTGAATTTATTTGATCGCTTGATTTTTTTTTGTTTATCTTAAATGGCATTCTAATTTAAGTGACTTTGTAAATAAGAAAGGTAAAATTTCTTTGTATAAAGAGAAGGACAAGAATTATAAGATTTTTAAGAAAGTCATGTCGTCAATACATCCTGTTATATAATTTTGAACGTAGCTTTCTGTATTCAATGAAAATAACATAAAACGATATCATAGATAAATGTACGATATTTAATTATAATATATGAAATTATGAATTTAAAGTATTCATTACAACCATGTAAATAATATAAAGTAATGTCGTTGAAAGAAATTTGCTTTAAAATAAAGTATTTTATGTACAGAATAAAATCAGACTGCAAACAATGGGTGACCTCGTAACAACGAGACATTATTACAATTCATTTTTACAAATGAAAAATATTCATATATGCTACTTTAATATATAGAGCCCTAAGCGATAAGCTAAGGATTAACTCTACGTACATCAGTTTAAAGTTAATTAGTAAGAAAAACCCAACAAATTAATTTCATATACCACGCTCGCATTCGTAATCAAAACTTATAAACTAAAATTGTTTTCTTTTATTTTAATACTTGTATGTAAAAAACCTTGTACAATAAAAGCGTAATCAGCATAAACCATACAGTTGTTTGTTATGACCGTACACTGCGCAAAATAGAAATTGCTAAAAACCTTGACTTTAGTTTTACTGCGAGATTTACAATGTGGTTTCATATTTTATCCATGGAAGTTTCGACGTGACCTTGCTATAATGGTTTACTATTCATTTTTACAAACTTCAGTCGCGATATCACACAGAATAGTCTGTTGACATGTCACAGGCAAATCGTGTGCCGACTATTTGATTTTTGCCTAGACATTGAACGAATTCATTAATAAAGTGACACTTCCTTGATCGTCGTTTTCTTTGCAATAAAAGAAACGGACTGATAGTACTCGTAGTTGTAATCTAACACGTGAACTTGTGAATTGTGAACCTTTTAGTTGCCTTAGTTGCCTAGTTGTGTAGGCAAATCGTAGCAGAGGGTACATGATTTTTCAGTAACATGTATATTTATTTGATAGTACCTCCTGACATCTTGGACCGTGGAACCAGTACGGATCAGACAGTGCGTGAGGGAGCATCTGTCAGCATTACCTGCGCCGCCACAGGCTCGCCTCATCCACAAATAACATGGCGAAGAGAACATTCCAAAACTATAACAATCGCGGATGGCATACAAGGTAACCACTATATAAATAATTACCTGCTTATTTTTTAATGTAAAGCTCTTTGTTACAACAAAAGAGAGTTTACAAAGCGAACTTTATGCTCTATTGCTTTTTCTCAGTTAATATAGGTTGTAATTAAAATTTCATTGTAAATAAAGCGAACAGTGGATAATATACCCTAGAACTGTAGTAGGTAGAGTAGGCTAAGGTCATATAAACCTAGTCAATTATTTTTTTCACTGTCAAATCACTGTCTATTTTTTAATATAATTAAAATCAAGTCCGCCTATACGGCGCGTCTTGACCGCGAATGTGGTCTGTTAATCCATTCTCCCCGAAGAAGGATCCCGACATGTCCAATACTAGTCGGTACTTCCAGTAAAATGAACGTGAGTTAGCCGTGATTTGTATTAGTTTACTATCAAGCCATGTTATTTAGCGCAACGTTTAAAGAAAAACTTATAAAGTATTCATTGTTCACTTTGTTGAATGTACTCATAACTTAAAACATGCAATTGTTCTTTAAATTGTACTCTGTTTTCGCATTTCATTCTGCTTACTTTATTTGCAGTGACGTCATTAGAAGGTCCTGTTTTAAATATAAGTCGAGTGAACAGACAGCATGCGGGTGCATATTTGTGCATCGCCTCTAACGGAGTACCACCTACGGTTAGCAAAAGAATAATGCTTACCGTAGAATGTAAGTAAAAACATCTCTTATCATGTATTTGTGCAATTTATGTGTATATTTGTATGAATTTTCTCGTTTATTAGATCCGCCCGTGGTGACAATTAAGAATCAATTAGTGGGCGCCGTATTGGGGTCCGATTTATTGCTGGAATGTGAAATAGAGGCCTATCCCAAGCCTGTTAGTTACTGGAGCAGGGAAAATGGAGAAATAGTACCTATCGGTATGTGTATTTAATCAATTCAGTCTTACTTCTTGGAACTGTATGTATATTTGCGTATGTAAAGTGCGTTTATTTATTCCTATGAATAAATATATCCATGGTTTGTACTCATATCTTGGGAAATACGGAAACTCTGGTTAACTTTAATACATTTAGTTTTTACTCCGTTCATGTTAAACTGTCGTGCATTCTAACAAAACTATAAGATTAAAAAAACATTTTTAGGATTTTTCAGCTAAACAACTTATTGTAGGCTGAATGCAAAAGTGAAATTTTGTAGGATTTTTGTTATCTTATCTCATTCATATTACAAATGCGAATTGATGGATGGTTGGATCGATGGATAGATGATTGTTTGAAGGTATCTCCAGAATGGCTCAAGGGATCTTGATGAAATTTGACATACATATAGAACATAGCCTGGTAGAACACATAGGCAACTAATTGTTTTTTTTTATTTCGCGCGGACGGAGTCGCGGGTGATAGCTAGTCTAAGACACGTACTAATTTATGATATTATCATCATCATCATCATCAGCTCTCTATACGTCCCCACAGAGGGGCTCGGAGCCTACCCTAAGTTAAGGGTGATTAGGCCATAGTCAATGATATTATCACGCTCACAGAATTCCTTATGCATGTGTTTGTAATGCTGATTGATTCGAGCATATCTGCGGCCTGCCTGTCCCGAGCTGTGTTGACCTGTAGATTATCCATCAATAGGGGTGTTCGCTTCAATGAGCTTAGATATATTAATCACGAGCATTGGGAATAATATTATCGTTATGTAAAGAAAGCTATTTAAATGAATAGAACGGCGGATGAATGATTTTATAATCACATCCATTTGGTAAAATGAGGCTCATATTTAAATAAAAAAAATATCTTACTACTATAATAAATGCGAATGTTTGGATGGATGGATGAATGTTTTTTTGAAGATATTTTCGGAACATAGTCTGGAAGAACACATAGGCTACTAATTATGTTTTTTTTTAATTCTGCGCGGCCGGAGTCGCGATCGAGCGTTAGTTTGTGACATATTATTAAACATAAAGCTATCTATTATTTTAAGAACATAAAAAAGGATAATGATAATCTCTTTAGACAATTTCGAGAAGAAGAACGTTATTAATTCGTCTGTTTTTTAACATACAAATGTTTCAAACAATAGAAGACCACAGTTTATGAGACTGTTACCTAGTTTTGTAACGTGATAGTTGTTATTTTAGGTAGGGGCTTGGAACCGCAAAAGATATCGGGCTCGTATCGCACCGTGCTAAGGCTTCCCATTCGGAGGATAACGGGCTCGGATTACGGCGCATACAAATGTGTCTCCAAAAACTCTTTGGGTGACAGTGAGGGAACTATTAAACTATATCGTAAGTTATTAATAATTTTAAAAACATTTATTTTTGTAAATATTCATTGGAGAACGAAGACATGTTGTGGCAACCCTACGTAGATAAAGAAAGAGATGTTAATATTTAAGCCGTATTTTTATTAGTTACCGTGGCTATTAATGCAGTAAAAACTAACAATGGTTTTATTTACAGCAATGCCACCTCCTGCAATGGAAAACAATGGTAAAAATTTAATTATATTTTATTGCATTGTTTTTGATCCCACATATCTTTAATGCGAATTATTTTTTTGACAGCAGTTCAGAGGCTAAATATAATTGCCGATAAGTCATCAGACAGCACACCATTCGGCACACAAGGTAATTCATACAAAAATTATTTAAAATGGTAAAAATAAAACTAATTTTCCATAATCATCATCAGCTCACTATACGTTCCAACCTAGGGGCTCGGAGCCTACCCTAAGTTAAGGGTGATTAGGCCATAGTCAACCACGATCGCCAAGTGCGGGTTGGTTGACTTCACACATATCTTTGAATTTCTTCTCAGATGTGTGCAGGTTGCATCACGAGGTTTTCCTTAACCGTAAGAACGTCGGATAAATGTACATATGTAAATCGGAAATGGTAAAACACATTGGTACATGGCGGGATTCGAACTCAGGACCTGTAGATTGCAAGTCAAGTGCTTGACCACTGAGCCACCGACGCTCATTTTTCCATAATATTAAGTATTATAACAAAATATGTAACTTTTTTGAATGTTATTGATATTCTGAAATTACTATATTCTTGTCTGAATCTAAAAGACTACAATTTTTCGTCGGGTTCCATTCTTTGTGCTTATGTTTTCTTCTAAGAAAACATTTATTGTAAATACTATTTCCAAACCGCTACGACTTAGGGTCGTTCAAGAAGCGAGCTTATCACCACCTCAAAGGCCGGCAACGCATCTGCGGTTCCTCTGGTATTGCTGATGTCCATGGGCGTCGTTGAACACCTCGGTGTTCCCGCTGCTCGTTTGCCCCCTTCTGTTATAAAAAAAAACTGTTATAATTAGTATAAATGTTAATGATGATTCCATAAATATCCTTTCTATGAATACATAGCTGTAGGCTAGTGCAGAGAAATGCGAAATAATTAAATTTTAGTAAGAAATTTGCAAATGAATATTACGAAACAAAAACCTCTGTTAATGTTTTGGGTCGGTATTAAAAATGTAGTCTAATTAGTGAAATGTTTTCAGATTTCAGATTACAAAATTACAGCGGAGCGGCTTGGAAGGATTCCTTTAATTTCAGCTTACTGTCCTCTCTAATAATTGTCAACAGCGTTGTTACTTGGAGGTTTCTTTGAGTAAAATAAGCTAGCGTCTGAAAAGCGTTTGCTTTGCCTTATGTAGTAGCCAATGTTATTAGATCAATTTTAATTTGATTAGGATTATTTGAAACTTTAATGTAAATAGCATAATTTTATTGTAAAATATGAAATATTCCACACTAATTGCACAACGACCTTCTCGGACTTTCGGCGGCCGCGAGGGATGTACGTGACGCATGCAGATGACAGTACGCGGAATTGACGTCATGTGTAACTCGGGCTTCAATTGTGGTGACATGCACAGTACTGCGTAGGTACAGTCAGCTGAATAAATATGGAAACATTAAAAAACTTCAGAAACTTGTATACGCCATCTTTTTCAAAAATATGTATGCACGTATGCTTCCCACCATGCTAAGAACATACGCTCATTCGTATTTTTCATACCGAGGGCGTATTAAATTTTCTGAAGCTTTGTAAATGTATACATATTAATGCAGCTAACTGTACAGCTGACTGCAAAACAAACTATGACAAATGACCCATGAGATTGGCGATCTTATGACAGTTAGTTCTGTGAGAGTAGATGAAAAACCTACTTAGACATATCGCAAAAGACGAAGACTTAAAACTATAGTCAAACAAGGATATTTGAACTGGTGAGAGGCGCAGTAATTAAATTTAGTTATTAACTGTGAATTCCTAATAAATACTACATTACTGAAAATAGTTCGTAGGGATTTACTATTTCTAATATGTAGTTGTAATGAAGTTGACGGTAGTATTTAATGAAATAGATTAGAGAATAATATTAGAAACTAAAATATAAATGTTAGTAATATAAAGAAAGTTGGAAAAATGATTCTATAATACATATTTTAAAAGGCTTATTAAACAGTATTGTACATATTGTAGAAATTTCAATACCAGATTGGTTTGTAAATGTATTCGGGAATTAAGTACAGTTTGATGACATCTTTAATTTTAATTTCTTTATCGTACTATTTATATATAGTATTTATTATTAAATTTGAATCGAATTAATTATTTGTATTTAAAGTGCATTAAAATATAATGGTCTAGAAATTTGTACAGAAAGTATTATAAACATAGACTGATCTTCGTAAATAGGCTGTAAATAAGAGCATAATAGTAAAATATATAACATTGAGATGATGTAAGTCGCGGAGCATTGACGATTATTGTGAATAATATAGATATAAGCTGAGCTTAAATCGCTTTTACATGTTTTATGACGTAATTAAATACATATCTATAGTACCTACTTGTAATAGAGACAAAATTTACTGTATATTTTAAATTAAAATAGCTTAAACATGTAGAATCTACTAACTATAAATGAATAATTTGTCGTAGTAAAAATGTTTTTTTTTTTTTCGAATTGCATATCAAATTATCAATTTCAATCCTATTTTATGATAATGTTCAATTATTTGGCTTGTATTAATTTTGTAAAAATTATGTATTTATATTTTAAATGAACCTCACTAAAAGCCCTTTGATAAAACTGTTATAAAAATGTTATTTAAAATAAAATACACAGGACTTGAGTACTTGTAGTTTCAAGTTAGATTCCAGTTATTTTTTAGCAACAAAAGAGTATTTTAATCAAAGGACTAACATAAACATTTTCTTCTATAATTATTAATTGGACATATAATTATTTTATACTTGTGCAATATAATTTACAGAAAATATTAAGGTTAAGTTTTTCCTATTAATTCTAATTTATTATGTATGCGGACCACTAAACGCTATGAAAAATAAAGCTGAATTTTGTTGTAATTTTCTTTATACTTTTCCTAATATTATTTAAAAGTATACGCAAGTGAAACAAGCGTTTACTATCCATAAAGTGTGCGATATACTGAGGGTTTCTTGTTGAGATCAAGAAAGAGTAGACATAAAGTTTTTTTTTCTATTACGTATCGGCCGACAAACCAAACAACATTTTAAGTCATGCATTTTACGCTATCCGATACAGATTAAAATAATATACCTGAACTCACCCTTTAAAGGTAAATAAAACCTATGTAATAGGTATATCAATCATCTCTATTTCATCGACAAAAGATTGTCTGATAATATGCAAAAGAACGTGAAGAAATTCTCGAAAGCAGCAGACTATTCAAGCTCGGTCTTCGAATATAAAGAGTTTAAAAAGTTTAAGAAGAGTCAAGAATAAACCTAAATAACACAAGATAAAAATCAAATTACAAGAGTAGCTTATTCCCCAGGTCTAATGTAACAATATTTTAAATCAATATTAAAATAATATGACACAATGTTAGGAGCGTATTCTGTAAGGCATGTATTATGCAACAACGTTCAATTCAGTATTACACACGCTGCTTTGCAACCTGAGCATTCTACAGAGTCACATAAATGAGTTTTGAGCATTGTCTGCTCCTGCCCTACTCGTATTACCCTCCCAACACTAAACAAAACAACCAATTATAACGTAGCAGCTGTCGCCCGTGACTCCGTCCACGCGGAATTAAAAAATAACTTACTATATGTTCTTCCCGAGTATGTGTCAAATTTCATCTAAATCCGTTGAGCCAATCTATCCATACAAATAGTCCCATTTATAATACTCATATTAGCACGATATTATTACATTTACACAAAAAGCAAATAACACTGAAACAATTTAAAATATATGTTTAATAATATTTTAACATTTTATTTCGGTCTGTGACCTGGTTCCGAATATATGTCGTATCCTTCTGTATGCTCGCTGTTTGCATACATTGAGAGCGGTGTGTTTGCTCGAATGCTATTGCACTGACAGTATTCAATGCCATCTAGTCAGGAGATGTCACAAAGTTAATAGTTTGTATATCTTGAATAAGCTTTTAACAATGAAATTCATTTCATTATCATTAAAAAAATGTACCATAGAAATGACTCTCCTCTATCTGCTACTACTTTTATTTGCAGCATGTTGTTCTATAATTGCGGCACATTGGTGTGGACTGAGTTATTATTATTCATTTATATTATTTCAGACTATTATTAGGAAATAATAGTTGTTTAAATGATCACCTTCCAGCCTTTTTCCAGAGGTTCGGCCAGACTGTATTACTAAGCTGTATCTCTAACTGAAATCAAATCAGACCTCTTTCGAAGGTCGTCGTGCATTAATGCAACTCAATTCTTACTCGTATTCTATTTTGCAATATTCTAGAATGGCAGTTATATAACAGAGGTATAGGATTAGTGTTTTCTTAAAAGAAACAAAACAATGTAAATACCGTACTCTCGAGTAGAGCATTACGTAAATTTGTTGGTGCGTGTTCCATGCGTTATTCGTGCTGACCTTAGGCGATTCGGTTATTGATCGTGCCACATCGAAAGGTTAAATCTTAGTTTTCCTCTACAAACATTACTTTCATACATGTAATTTACTAATTAGCTGTCGCCATATATTTAATTACTTTCTTCATTAAAACTTTAATTTTGTGCGGCGTTACAGCTCCTTTAAGTTTACCCAAGAATAGATGTACTCGTAGGCTACAGAAATTGTTTTTATAGTAGTGATGTTACATTTAAGAAATACAGCGTGTGCCAAAATTCAACGATAAAACGGTAATGGTGTATAGCCAGTTTGATAACTACTAGTTATCGACCTAGTATCCCCATGTAGTTATAGTTCTGGCTATACACCAGTACCGCTTTATCTTTGAATTTTGGGACACGCTGTACAGATAACATGTTATGACATGACGAAAAGTGGACTTCAGATTCCAGTTACAATAATTCGTTCATTTCGACTTAATTAATGATATTTTTGACAATTGACATTTTGAAAATGTTTCTAGTACTCTGAAATGTTGAAGGAGGTTATTAACATTCCGTTCCGGAAAGTATTATGCCGTGTTTATTCTTCATCCATCCATCAAGTTCTTCGTCACTTGATAAGCGACTGGTTTATCGCGAAAAATTATGAAAGTAAGCGACTTCCGTTTTTGCACTATAAATTGTTGTCCGGTGTAAAAAGTCAAGCTAATTAGGCTTTAAAAGTAAATTATGTCTTAATTTTTTTTTAATCCTAACAAGTTATTATTAATAAACTAAACCACATCCAAAATATGTTATGAAACATCGTTGTATTAAATTGTTGTTAATTTGTACAACGTTGGGAATTTCTCTATCGTCTATTTCATCCTCGGGTCACTATTTTACTTAGAATTAAATTACCTTGGTTAAGCGCATTTGCAACTCAAGAGTCAATTACACCGACCAAGAGTAATGAAGTGACCAAATTCCTGACGTGACGTCCCGGCGACTCCTTAAGAACGTAAGTGTTTACAAGACTCGGCATGTATAAACTACGTGATGAAATATATTTTTTTCGAGCATATGTACGTTTGTTTTTATGTATATATGTTTGTATATGTATTATTTTCTTTTAACGACCGATTAATCGATTGATTAGATTTTGACGAGTGATGTTTCATTAGATCCCATTTCTCCGGATTGTAGAAAGTTGTTTTAAGTAACAAATCATGTTATTAGAACTAAATAAATACTTTTAAACATTACAAGTATGAAACCTTTGGCGCCAATGGCGCGCTTTCGTTACCATGTCAAGTGTCAGATTGATTAGTGAGGTGACATAAATGTTGACATTTTAATAGGGCTATTGCGCCGATACACCGGCACAGTGTCGGATTGTCTTCCTAAACAATACCAAATTGATGTAATAATTATTGATGATTTTATTTATTTATCTAGTAAATAATGTGATCGTTATATGGCTGTAGTGGTATGGATTTGTGACGATCATTTAATATTAAAAAAGCTTATGAAAAAAGCATGTAAAAATATTATGGCAATGAAATTTGGTTGGTTTTGTACCACACATCCTTTAATAATGTTTGTTTTGTCATTGTTACAACATAACATACATATATCTTTAATGTATGTAAAAAAGTAAACGATAATAAGCAAGAGCATTAAAAATAAGGACCAGATTTTTTTCAAACACGATAATACATTAACACTTTAGGGATGTAATATAAAAGCGATAAAAGCCGCTGTAAGCTGTCTTTTTCTCTTCAAATAAAAGCTTTGTTTTCTGTACAATGTTTTTAAAAAGTCAAAATGCTCCATTATTTAAGGTAAATCGTTTCATCTCTTAATGTTCGTGTTCATAATATTTGAACATTATTTTAGAATTTTTATAACGATAGAGGACGGTCGATGGGGCCGCAAAGTCCTAGAGTGGCGGCCACGGACAGGTCGGCGCAGCGTGGGCAGGCCTCCCGCAAGATATGATCTGGTCAAGGTTGCGGGAGCGTCCTGGATGCGGGTGGCACAAGATCGGTCATCGTGGCGATCTTTGGGGGAGGCCTATGCCCAGCAGTGGGCGTCTCATGGCTGAGTAGATAGATAGATAGATAGAGATACAATGGAATCGTATAAAGTTATATGAATGTTTAGTTTACAGTTTCTGTTATCAATACTAATATTATAAAGCGGAAGAGTTTATTTGTTTGTTTAAACGCGCTAATCTCAGGAACTACTGGTCCGATTTGAAAAATTATTTTTTGTTGGATAGTCCATTTATAGAGGAAGGCTTTAGGATATATGACATAACGCTGCGACCAATAAGAACGAAGAAAAATGTAATCAAAAGATAATCGCAATTGTGTTTCCGACAACCACGCGAACGAAGTAGCGGGCACAGCTAATACTAGATAAATAGCTAAAATATCTAGACCTAAGAAACTCAATGAAAAGTTCC